GTGAAGAGTCCAGGAGGACACTCATTTGAGAGGAGAAGGGAGGCAGAAGGGTCAAGGGAGACGTCGCCATGGAAGCCCGGCACCAGGGCTCTCCAACTAAGCGACTCACTCGATGTCACTAAGAAGTAGGTGAGCACTGAGCGGGGCAGGGAGGGGCTCCCCCGTGGGTGCCCACAGCACCCCGAGCACTGGTCCCTCGGGCTCGCAGTCCGTGGTCTCCGTGTCCGCCAGACCCGCCAACAGGGCAGGGGGTGCCCGCGGCTCCCCACGGTGGCCCGACACCCGTGACCGCCCGAGAGAGTAACGGCTCGAGGAATGCGTGCTCAGCACGTTCGTTCCCCCCTCCTCGGCCGGGGCGGAGCCCCTGCTAGCCGGACAGCCCTCCCCGCAGAGCATCCGCGGGCCCCGCTTCCTGCCGACAGGCCCCGCACGCCCGGCGGCCCCTGCGCTCCGCCGGGAGGAGACACCATCGCTCCCAGGAGCCCCGCCGTCAAGTCCGAGCCACGGGGCGCCCGGGCTGGCAGAACGCTGCGACGGCCGCCTGGCGCCGCCCCGGCCGCTCGCCCCGGCCAGATCCGCCGCACCCGGAGGGGGCCGCGCCCCGCGCGCCGCACGGCCCCCGACGGCGGCCGCCGGAAGCCGCAGCCCGCGAGCCGGAAGCTGAGGCCGCTGGCCGGCCCCCGCCTCACGCCCGCCCCGCCCCCGCCCCGCGCGACCAAGAGCCGCGAGGGCCCGGGACCGACGGCCGCGTCTCCGAGGGGCCTTCGACGCCCTGGCCGGGACGACGACTGCCCCCCGCCAGCTGAGCGGCGGCCCGCGGTGACGGGCGGCTCACTTACGAGAGCTATGGTCGCCGTCGCCATCTTGCGTCCGTCGCGGCCGCCGCGCGCGCCACACGCTCCTGCTCCCTCTGTGGTCTCGCGCGATCTGGGCGCCGGCGAAAGAGCCCGAAGGAGATCGGAAGTCTCGCGATAAAAGGCTCTTTCGCCTTCGAAGGGGGAGGGGCTGGGGGAGGAATCAGCTTCCGGTGTGAGGAAGGCCCGTTAAGACCGCGTAGCAGAGCGGACGGAAGGGGCGGGGCCGGGGCGGGGCCAGGGGCGGGTCTAGTCCGGGCGGTGGCCGTGGCGCGCGTAGCTCTCCCCGGCGCGGTGCGTGTGCGGGCTCCGCCTGGGCTTCCCCTCGTCGGCGGAGGGCGGTCCCGCCTCGGTTCGTCTCAGCGAGCCCCTCGCGGCCCCTCCTGCCCCTCTCCTGCCGCTGCTCCGTTTCCTGGCGTCCTTCACAGAAGAGCTTCGGTGCGGCGAGGGCGTCCCGTGTCCCCGGCAGCACGCAGGCGGCAGGCGGAGCGAGTGCGGACCGCGGCGGCCGCAGAGATCGCATTGAGAGCGCGGCAGAGAGTCGCCGTGTTCCCGAGTCGCGCCCGCGCTGCTGCGCGTCGTGCCCGCCGGAGTCGGGACGCGCCGCCTGCGCACGGCGGGGCCGCGTCCGAGAGACGCGCTCAGGCCCCGCTTCAGCGTCCCCCGATGCTCCCCGCCGTGTTTCCGGGCGCCAGGTCCCCGTCGGGGCGTGGAGCTGCGCGGAGTCGGCCGCAGGTCACCCCCGGTCCCCAGGATCCTACTCGAGGAGGTCACATCCGCAGCCTCAGGCGATGAGATTTTCAGTCCAGAGGCGGCATTAGGCGGGTCGCTTTTCCGCCCTGGGAGGGTTTGAAGGGAGATGCGGACGCCGCTAGTAAACGCGGCGGACCACCTGCTTCACGTCCCTCGCATCTAAAATGAGAGGAAAAGAGTCGCGTAAAGGCAGAATCCCAGGAGCGCAGAAGTGGGGTATCGTGCAGCCGGAGGAAGGCGGGCAACCTCTAGCCCGCTGGAGGTGGGCTGCGACGCCGAGGGCGTGTGGGTGGAAACGGAGTGCGAAGAGGAGACTCCACTCGGCTTTCCCCGCGGGCGGTGGCTGGGCTGCCCCAGCGGGGTCCCGTTCCAAAAGCGAGGGACTTAGCGAGATTCCTGCCCTTTCCCCACCTCCACCCTAGCCCCAAGTCTACCCCAGCGTGCGCCGCCCGTGAACCTCAGAGCTGCTCTCTGCAGCAGCTCCTGGCTCAAAAGACGGGCAGCTGGAGGGCGCTCAGGAGAGTGGCCTCGCCAGGTCCCTGGCCTCAAAGCTCACCAGGCAGTAAGCCCCACCAGTAAGACATCACTCCTAGAAGCAACTGAGCAGCCCGGCATCACCAGAGACCTAAGGAGGAGGAAAGAAATAAAAACGGAAAGGAAAAGGGACTCAGAAGGAGCAGAGACAATAAAGCAAGAAGAAAACCTAAAACCATATCCTCAGAGATATCACAGAGGATGTTGCGTCCAGAGTCAAAACAATCAATATATTGCACACCCAAAACTAATAAAATACTGTATGTTAACTCACTGGAAGTAAAATAAAAACTTAAAACCAAAATCTAGAACAAGAAGGTTATTATAAAGAGGGGCGCCTGGGTGGCTCAGTGGGTTAAAGCTTCTGCCTTCAGCTCAGGTCATGAACTCAGGGTCCTGGGATGCCCCACAGCATGGGGCTCTCTGCTCAGCGGGGAGCCTGCTTCCCCTCCTCTCCTTCTGCCCGCCGCTCTGTCTACGTGTGATCTCTCCAGCTCGCTATTAAATAAAGAAATAAATAAAATCTTTAAAAAAAGAACAAGAAGCTATAAAGAAAAAATGTTCAATAACTGAGAAAAAGTACTTATAAATTAAAAATATGAGAGGAAAATGAACAATTAAATGGAGGGTTTAAAGATACAGTTGAAATCTTCCAGAATGTATAAAACAAAACCTGATAAGTAGAGAAGAGAAAATACAATCGGTCACACTGAGTGGTATTCTCCAGTGCTTAGAAATGACCTCGTACCTAACCAGCCTCCATGGGAGAGGGGGAATGGATGAAGTGGTGAATGGGCTGGGATTTGCCACCACCACTGCAGGGGGTGGAGGGCACAAGCACCACTTTCTGGCAGTAGCTTATCTTACGAGATTTGACACTGATATATAATAAGGCATTCAGAGTGCTCGGGTGCTGGGCACAGTTCTCATTACCTTACAAACATTACTTTGTGTGATCTTTACAACAATTCCATGAAGTGGGTACTGTTATTTTATTTTATTTTTTTTAACATTTTATTCATTTACTTGACAGACAGAGATCACAAGTACGCAGAGAGGCAGGCAGAGAGAGGAGGAAGCAGGCTCCCCGCTGAGCAGAGAGCCCGATGCGGGTCTCAATCCCAGGACCCTGGGATCACGACCTGAGCCAAAGGCAGAGGCTTTAACCCACTGAGCCGCCCAGGCGCCCCAAAGTAGGTACTGTTATTATCCCATTCTTCCAGATGAGGAAGTAGGGGCACCATATCCCACAGCCAGAAGCAGCAGAATGACTCAGAGCCTGTGCTCTTAACTATCACATATTGTGTCTCCTAAAAGATAATTCCAACATCTAAATAATAAAAGTTCCACAAAACAAGGAGGGGGGGGAAATAAGCAAAAACAAAAAACAGAGAAACCAAAAACCAAACAAAAAATGCCCCAAACAAAGTTTCCTAGAACTGAAGGGTAGGGATCTCTGGACGACAGATGAAACACAAGTTTTTAATCCAGAAATACCATTGAGATTTCCAAAGGAAAGGAAGGAGAGAGGGAAAGGAAGAGAGAGGGAGGGGAATCACCAATGGTTAGAATTCAGAAAGACATGGGAAGTCTTGGGATTAGAAGAAAATCACATGACACCCTCAAAATCCTGGGAAGAAATAGTTTTCAACTTGGGCAAACTTTTGCGCCTCGCTACACTAACGAGCAGACGTAAGAGTAGGCTAAGGACAAATGGGCAAAGACTCCCTGATTTCCCACGTGCTCTCTCTCAGGAAACTTGGAGGATGTTCTTCTTCAAACAAAGGGTGAATGAAGGAAGAGGAAAGTGAGGGATCCAGTAAAAGGAGGAAAGATGTACTCCGGGATGCTGGTAAAGGAGCAACTCGTGCTGGCGGCTAGGCCACAGGCCCAAGAATACACAGCCTGGGGCAGAGAGCTGGCATGGTGGCGGCTCCGGGAAAAGAGGAAACAGAGCAGTCCATTGTGCAACGAATCTCAAGTATTGACCGGAGAATCTAAGAACGAGTTAACGAGATGTGTACAGAAAACTAAGCAAACAAACAAAAAGGGCAATGATTAACTCCAGGCAAAACAAAAAGTTGTGCAAGAAACCAAATATAACCCTAGGACAGCTTGTTCTCTGCTGAGACCTGCAGTAATGAAGCTGTAATAATACACACCACACTGGGACGATGCTGGGTCAGGACCCTGAGGCCAGTGAGCCCCCTCCTCACCAAGGACACCAGCAGGGGACACCTTATGTAGAAAAACCAATAAAAAGCAGTAAAAGCATGTGCAGCTTGTGATAGATGGATTTTACATGCCTGAAGAAATAGCTAAGAGTTAAATCTGGGAAGGATCAGACTTGGAGACTGCATTGATCATTTATTGCTGGCTTAAAAAAACAAACATTCCACTTTTAAAATGATATGTGTATAACTTGGATAAAAGTTAAAATGAAAACCTCATTAAGCATGACTAACTGAAGCAATGATAGTATTGATACTTTTGAGTTCAGTTTAACGGGTACACAACCTGTTATGCACTCGACACTCAAATTGTTCAAGACAGCATCGGGATTTCCAACTAGACTTGAATGTTACTGTAGATTTGTTAAAGTTGAAGGAGTAACTCTGTAGGGTATTGGGGTGTTTAAGACAACTTAAGATTCACTATGGTTTTTTTTGTGTGTTTTTTTTAAAGATTTTATTTATTTATTTGACAGACAGAGATCACAGGCAGGCAGAGAGGCAGGCAGAGAGGGAGGAAGGGAAGCAGGCTCCCCGCTGAGCAGAGAGCCTGATGCGGGGCTCGATCCCAGGACCCTGAGATGATGACCTGAGTTGAAGGCAGAGGCTTTAACCCACTGAGCCACCCAGGTGCCCCAGATTCACTATGTTTTGATGTGTATTTGATACACCTTGGTAACTTTATTTTAGTTTTTGGTTAGGGTAATGTAGTAGGTGGAAAAATGATGCCCTCTCTCCAGGATGTCCATGCCCTAACCCCCAGAACCTGTGACTGTTTTTATATGGCAAAAGGGATTTCCATACATGATTAAGGACCTTGTGATGGGGAGATTATTCTCGATTATTCAGGGGGACCCAACCTAATTACATGAAGCTGTCCTGGCTGCAGAAAACCACAGATGGATCATGAGAAAGACTCAACCGGCTGTTTTTGGCTTTGAAGACGGAGGACGAGTACATGAGCCAAAGAATGGCGGTGCCTGTAGAAGCCAAAAATGACCTTCAGTTTATAGCAGGCAAGAAGATGGGGACCTTGGCCTTACTGTTGCAAGGAGATGAATTCCTGGCCAGTGCCCATGCTATCCCTGACACCCGCAAGCCAACAACCTGAAGCAGAAAATGGAAACCTAGGCAATAGTTTTAGGCTCACCTAGAACCTTCAGAAAGGAATGCAGCCTGGCTAACGCCTGGAGAGACCTGTACCAGACTTTTGACCTGCAGAACTACAGTAAATCTGTGGTATTTTAAGCCACTAAGTTTGTGGTAAATTCTTCTAGCAACAACAGAGAAGTAACACAGTGGTGAGCTTTCCTGGTTTGACAATAGAAATTCCTCAAAAGAAACCTGAATGCAGTAAGTTCATGCAATTTAAAATGTTGAAGAACGCTTAACTCATCTTGGAGACAGAGGGGAGGCGGTCTGGGAGAAAGGAGGCTCGGGCAGTGAGGAGTGGGAGGGAGTTGAGTGGGAGAGACAGGGAGTCAGGGGCTGCTGTCCTCGGGACCTGGGAGGCAGCTGCCACAGGAGGGGGTGAGTGACTATACGTGGGGGGTAGTGAGTTTGAGAGAAAGCACAGCGAGAGCAGGGAGGATGCCTGAGCCCAAGGCCTCCAGGTCTAGGAATGTGGGAGGGAAAACAGCTCTTTAGAGAGGGCTGTGGGGGGCCAGAACAGCCTGCAGAGGGCGTGGCAGGTCCCTGTCCCACAGCAGTGGAAAGTCAGAGGGGGTCTCCAAGGTGGGTCTGCGCTGGGCAGGGGCCAGAGGGCTGTGCAGGAGCCGTGTCGGGCTGGGGACTCATGAAACGTCTCTGCCATCTGCTTCTCCGGCCAGGTCGTGGCCCTGCCCAGTGCCCAGCATAGTGCCTCACGCCTGCAGGTGTGGTACCACTGGCTTAATGGGGGGTTCCCAGGGTGGGTCTGTGGTTCCAACAGGGTGTGGAGCGTTGCCCTGGGCAGGCATCTGTCCGGGACTGATCCCCCAGCCCCAACACGGTGGCTCCCTGCAGCGCAGCCTCTCCCGTGCTGAAGGCTCGATCACCCACCAGATATCTTGGGGTGGGGGAGAACTCTTGGCCAGGAAATACAGGATATGAGAAGGGACTGTGAGTTGTGCAAGCTGGCTAGGTGGGAAAATCCTGATCCGGACAACATGTGGGGCCTAACTACTCCCCTGAGCCCCAACCCAGGCTCCTTTGCCCCCAATGGGCCCCAAACCCACCACCCTCCCCACCCCACTCCAGGGCCTCCTTGAAAGCCATGGAAGGCAGAAGCTCCTCACTAGCCGGCATCTGGTCATCAACCCCCAGGCACGTAAGCAGAGGTCAGTCAGCCCCTGGTCCCCTAAGCCCTGGGCCAAGGCTGAGCTTCCCCACGTGGGCGGCCAGGGCCGGTGCCCGGGGACTGGGCTGCGAGGTCACGGCTGAGCTCCAAGGTACTTGAGGAAGGTGCTTTCCAGGAAGGCAGCCAGCTTGGTCCGGTCATCCTGCAGGGCAGGAAGGAGGCATGGGGTGACAGGGGTGCAGACTCTGCTGTCTCTCCCTCCCAGCCTGGCTAGGTCAGCCCGCACACCTCGTGAACGAAGCCATAGTGTACCAGCTCGGCGGCGAGGTCCTGGGCACTGTCGGCTGCAGCAGGGACATGGTCAGGGGCAGGACAGAGGAGTGAGGCCGCCGCCTGTGCCCACACCTGCACCCGCCCCTGCCCCGGAACCCGCCTGGCCTACTTGGGAGCAGGTCATAAGTGAGCTGCCTGTGCAGCCGGTCCTCCAGCACCAGGAGCAGAGTCAGCTGTGGAGGCAGGAGGGTGTGCTTGGCTCCCAGAGTCCACCCAGCACCCCCAGCTGCCTCCCCCTACCTTGCTCCTCCATGGGCCCCAGCCCCTGCCCTGCTCACATGCCAGCGGGCCTTGTCCTCGCTTCTCTCCAGGTTGCACTGCATCTGGATCACCTGGGGACAGGGTGGACCAGGGTCACCCACGAAGGCCTGGCCTCAGCAACTGGTGGCAAGCGCAGAGGCTGACTCGGGGCCCCGAAGGGACAATAAGGACTGGCAATGGGGGCAAAGCTCTAAGGAGAGCCTAAGAAGCACATTCACTACAGGTGGCCTGGCCAATTCAGGAACACTTCTAGAAGGGTGGACACCAAGTCTGGGTACTGAAGGACAAACAGGGTTTTCACAGGTGGGGAGAAGACCTGAATGAGGAGAGAGCTGGGAGAAGCAGCAGAAGGGACGGGCTGGCAGGGAAAGGAGCAGAGGCATACGACGCCAGCAGCGCCAGGCCTCAGGACACCTGGGGATCAGGCTGAAGACCCCCAGCATCTCTGGGGGCAGCTCTGGCTGTTAGGACATGAATCCTGGCTGGAGGGAGGAGGCTAGGTTGGCGGCTGGTTCAGCATCCAGGTAGGAAATGGGGGTGACCTAGATCAGGGTGGAAACCACGGAGACACACCCAAGGCCAAAGCCAGAGCCTCTGGAACCCAGTAAGTATGGACATGGAAATGGGGAGCGGGGCTGAGGCTGACCGGGGCAGGCCCCTGGCCAGGAGGGAGCCTTCCAGGAGGAGAGATTGGGGGAAACACAATGTCTGGGAGGCCTTGGAGGACGCACTGGGACACAAATGTCAGGGAATCAGCAAGCCGCGGGTGGGGGCATCAGAGAGGCCCGGGAGCAGGTGAGATTCCCGGCTGGCGGCTGCTTGGAGCCCAGCAGGACCCGGGCAGGGCCGGGGGTCTGGCACCAAGGGATTCGGGAAGGGTCTGCAGGGGGCAAAGAGCCTCTGAAAAAGGGGGTATCCTAGCTCGTCTCCCATCTCCTACCCCCAACATCAGGGTCAACCAGGACCTGATTTCTGGCAGCCTGGAGGAGTGCTGGGCTGGGAAGCACTCAAAGCCCCTGGCAAGAGACCCCTCTGGGCTGTGGATGGTCTCAGTGCAGCAGGAGCCCAGGCTCACCTTCCTGGTTTCAGAGTCAAAAGGTTCTGGCGTCGGGGTCTTGGCCTTCTGGGCCTCCTCGGGGGGCGGGGCCAGCACACGGGGCAGCCCCAGGGGCCGAGCAGCCGCGAAGTTCATCAGCGGGTAGATCCCGTTCCTGGGGATACACTGGGGTGGCTGGGGGCTCAGGCCCCGCAGCCCCTGGTTCCCCAGACTCACGGCAGCTCTCACCTGACATCCTCCAAGAATTTGTCGAGCTCCAAGCAGGAGACCTCCGAGTACCTGGCACAGGTGGGAGGGGCACGTGAGGGGCAGCAGCCCCCCTGCCCCGATGGCGGGGGCTGACCATGTGCAGAGGGGAGGCCCGGGGGAGGGGGGGCCCACGCTCACCGCCATTGCCGCGGGGGCCGGGGCGGCCGGGGGATCTCGGCCAGGACTGCGTGGAGGTCCACCGCCTTGCTTTTCTCCTCCACCACGTTCTCAGGCATGAGGTCTGCAGGTGGCAGGAGCACACCGGGTTCTGAAGGGAGCCCTCTCGCACCCGGAGCCCAGGCCCCCAGCCACCCCGCCCGTTGGGCCTCACGCTGGTGCTGGATGACGCAGTGAGCCGCCAGCAGCTTCAGCGAGTGCACCTCAAAGAGCACGCGGTGGAAGAGGAGGTTGTGGGCGGACGGCCGATGGCTGGGGTCCCGCGCCAGGCAGGAGAGGATGAACTCCTGGGGTTGTGGAGAGGGGAGGCCAAGGAGGGCACACAGTGAGGAGAGCAGGGCCCTGAAGTCCCCAGACCCCAGGGGTCCGGTCCTCGGGGGAGTCTTCTTGCAGGAAGGGGCAGAGGGACAGGCATACTGTTAGCAGCCAGGCCAGGACCCACATCTACAAGCGGGACCGTCAGGCCCTGGGTCCAGAACTGGCCGTGCTCTACCCCCTGGACCGCTCGCAGAAGTCCCGGGGGTCAGTGTGGTCGCCTGCAGCCCACAGATGAAGCCTGCGCTGCGGACGGAGGGCGACAGCCCCTGCCCTGAGGTTCTGGGCAGGGTAGGGCGGGTGGGGAGTGATGGTGCTGGGCAGAGGGCCCGATCAGCCCAGGCTCCTGGAGGTCTGTGCGGCCCAGCATAAGCCCATCTACCCACAGACGCTCCCTCAGCTCAGGCCCCAGCTCCAGAGATGCCCTGATGGGCCCGCGCCCCAGCGCCCCCACACATGTCCTCCGCTGCCCCCCACATCAGTTCTGGCTTCACTTCTTACCAGCCCCATCCGGGCCCCATCACTTCTGACCCTGATCCCCAGAGGCCACGTGGTCAAGTCAGATAGCCTAGACAGACTGTGGACACACCCTCCAACCCATGTTCCCTTTGCCCCCTCCCCGCCACGACCCCGACCTAAGCTGGGGCCGCGTCACCTCTAGCTGGCTTCCTGGAGGCTTTAAGCCAGGGACGTGGAGTGGAACACTGGCTCCACCCCTTATCCCAAAGCCTGAGCCTCTCTGAGCCTCTCTCTTGTCTCCAAGACGAGCATGACAGTAGTACTCCCAGAGGAAGGCTCTCTCTAGTCTCTCCTTCCTTAGAAGGACCTTTAGGGCCTGCAGGCCTGAAACTCCATAGGCACCATGCGTCAGGCTGTCCTTGTGGGTGAGCCTTGGTGCAGGGGGGCTGGCTCATCCCTCCGCGGCACTGAACCCCCGAACCTCCCGCCTGTCCTCAGCACCACACCGGCCCTACCCGGGACCCCTTGGAGCCAGGTGCGGGGGGCAAGGTCAGCTGCTCACCCGCATGTTGGGGTCGCTCAGTGAGTGCCTGGCACGAGTGATGGCCTCTTCTGTGACCCGGGTATCCCCGTTGGCTTGGATCTCCAGCACAGCCATCTATGGGGCAGGGTCAGGTCAGGCATGGAGAAGAGACGCAGGGTGAGCTAGCTGGGCGGCCGGGAGGCCCCTGGGCTAGTACCTCCAGTGCACACATCCCAAAGGAAAAGATGTCCACAGCAGTGCCGTCAGCAAACTCTGAAAGGGGAGAACGGATCAGGCTGGGCAGGGGAGATGCACGACAGCGGGGTCTCCAGTCTCAGGACTCACCGCCATACTCCGGCGGGAAGAAGTGCAGGTTCCGGACGTCCTCCCGCTGGGCACGGACTGGGCTTCGCAGATCACCTGGGAGCGCTGTGGACAGAGCAGACGGTGAGCAGACCGGGCAGCCCCGTGCCCGCCAGCCCCCTTGGGTCCCCACGCACCACTGGAGAAGACACGGTGCCACACTGCACAGGCCGCCACAGGGAGGAAGAATAGGCGTCAAGGTGAGGGGGCGTTGGGTGTCCTCTGCCCCTGGCTTCCGGCAGCCCCCTCCCCCGCCAAGCCCCCCCCCCAACCCCGCCAGCACCGGAGCCAATCTTGATGAGGCCGTTGTGCTGGATGAAGATGGTATCACTGGTCAGGTTGCCGTGGATGATAGGGGGACTGCACGCATGTAGAAAGCTGCAGGAGGGAAGGAGAGTCGGTGCGGTCAGGTGGGGGGGGGCACCGCGAGCATGGGGGCATGGCAGGGGCAAGCCCAGGCCCTCACCTGAGCGCGGACAGGATCTGTGTGCACCAGCGCTTCCAGGCCTGGTGGCGGATGGATTCCATCGGACCGGTGCGGAGAGGCGGCCGGGCCTGCGCTGCTCACCCACCTTGCATCCCTGCCCCGGCCCAGGCCCGCTCCTGTCCCCAGAGCTGCCTCTCACCCACACCCCTGATGCAGCCCCGGCCCACTCCCCATACCCGGGCGTTCATGGCCTTGTGGTTTTTCTTGGTCTTTTTGAGGAACTGCTTGAGGCTGCCCGAGGACACGTACTCAGTGATGAAGACGACCTGTGGGGCGGGCGGGCTCCGCCAACTGCAGGTGGGTCCCTACCACCCCCCACCCCCACCTCGGCTGCAGACGCCCCCCACCCCGCAGCGCCCTGTGCCCGTGGCTCACCCGCGCCCGGGCTTCTGAGGCATCCAGCCAGTATTTGTGCAGCTTGACAATGTTGGGGTGGTCCACCAGCACCAGCTGCTCAAACATGGTCTGGATCTTCTCCTGGGAAGGGGGGTGCGGTCACGGGGTGGGGGGGTGGGGCCCGGTCGCTCAAGGAGTGGGCAGGCCTCACCTCATGGGCTGCGAAGGCCTTCCTATCCCCGAAGTGCAACTCATTCCACACCACCTCTACCCCCTCCTCTGTGTCCATGGCCAGGAAGGTGCTCTGGACCCCTGGCATGTTGCCCTGGTTCACCTGGCAGTGGGGATGGGGGACATGAGTGTGCTGATATGTGTCAGGAGACAGAGTGGGGGCTTGGGCTCTGCCCACATCCTTGGAGCGGACAGCAAGCATGGGAGGCTGGCCCTCAGCCCCTCCAGAGGACTGGAGGAGGGGTGGCCTCTACGAGCCAAGTAGGGGTATCTAGGGGCTGGGCTGAGGGGGTTTGGAGGTTTCAGGGTATTCAGGATGGTCTTCATGGGTCTGGTCGCAGAGCATGGGGAGGTGGTCCTGGGAGAAGACTGAACCTTAGGGAACTGGGGGTCCCTCAGCAGGGCGTGGGGACCAGGCCAAAGGGGTCCAAGGCCCGGCCAATTAGGGGGCTGCCTGTGCAAGGCCACGGAGAGATTTCTGGCCTCCTGGATTGCCCAGCGCTCCCCTCGCCACGCGTGTCCTCCTCGGCCCCTCCGCGGGAGGTGGGCGGCGACCACCCTCTCCGCTCCCCGACCCCCCCGCCCCGCCGGGCCCACCTGCTCCCGCCGCTTCTGCCAGCGGCCGCACGGGCTCTCCTCCAGGATGTCGCTCTCGTCCTCGCTCTCCTCCTCCCGCTCCCGTTCCCGGCCCCGCCTCGGCGCCGGCTCTGGGGCCGCCATGGCTCAGCCGGCCCAGGACGCCGCCCTCCGTGGGATCCGCGGCCCCACGCCGCCGCCGCCGCTCCCCGCCTGCCCCTGGCCCTGCGCCCAGACGCCCAGGCGGGAGCGGAGCCGCCGGCCGCCGCCTCGAGCCCCCACGCTGCTCCTGGAATTGGGAGACGCGGCGCGCGGCCGGCGGGGGGAGGAACCCGCCCGGGAGAAACCCGCCCGCCCCTCCGGAGCCGCAGTTTCGGGCCAAAGCCCTAATGGAGATTCCCTGCTAAGGGCCGAGCCCGCGCCGCGCCCAGCCCAGGCCCCGCCCATTCCCGCGCAAAGCCCCGCCCCGGACCCGCCCCGCGGCGGAGACCCCGCCCACCACTGCCCCGCCCGACGGCGGAGGCCCGGCCCACCCCGCCTACGGCCACGCCCCACCACAGTCTCGCCCCGGCAGAGCCCCCACTCGCGAGCTCCTTCCCTTAGGAGTCCCCCTCCCTGGCCGGAGTTCTGCCCGCACCTGACTAAGGCCCCGCCCCACAGAGTCCGTCCGGGTCGGGGTCCCGCCTATCCCACCTAGGGCCCGCCCCTGGAGGTCCTGCTGGGGGCCTAGGCCCCCCAGCGCCTGCAGGAAACCTGCGCTCTCGGCTGCGGGGACAGCAGTCCCCGCCACCAGCCTGACTCCAGCGACCCGACCTCAGGGCTTTGGGTGCCCGCCTGGAGCCCGGTACGTCGGGTCCTCCCGGGGCGCTCGGCCACTCGCGTGGGACCCGGTCCGGGGCTCCGGGAAACGTCCCCGCCCAGCTCTGGGAGCTGAGCGTTTCTTCTTGCATCCCTTCCGTGCCTCCCCATCACGCTCCTGCTACACGCAGCCCAGAACCCAGCCCCAGACCGCCTTCCAGTCCCCAGGCATCCCCCTCCCCCAGGGAACAGGGGGGACGGTCCTGAAGTGACAAGGAGCAGGCTGACCAGGTGATTTTAATGCATGATCACAAGCGTCCCACCGCTCGCACTTGTGTTCTTTCCGTTTATTTGCACGTGTTTACTGTCCCACACTCCGAAAAGGCAATTTCTTCCCTTCTCTTCCCTTTCTGTTAACACAGAGGAGGCCAAAGTGGGGAGCGCCCCCCCACTGACCTGCAGCCACTTTCTCTTCAGGAGAGCCCTTGTCACACCCTCTGCCCATGTCAACAAGAGATGCGCTCTAAAATTCTTGCCTAAAATCTCCCTTTACCCCACAATCCCCACTGCCTTCCCACGGTCTCACACTCTCATACCTGCGGAGTTCCTCACCCACCCTTCATGGTCTCCTTCTAGGGGGAAAAGCAGTGCACACATGTGTCTTCTCTTTAATTCGAACCCCAGCCCTCAACTCCTACTCCATCTCTGTTCAGTGGTGTGTCAGAGACAACAGGGACACCTCCCTTACCCCCCCATGTTGCCCCGGATGACATCTCGCCCCTTCTACCCCGTCCCGCTTTCATCCTCACGCGACCCATGAGCTCATCAGGGCTGCTGCTGCCGCCGGCCCCGTGCCCCAGCTGCCACCCAGCACCAGGAGGCACGACCAGGGTGTCCCTCGGCTGCTCACAACTCTCTCTGTAGCAAAGAGGAAGACTGGGAAGGATGTGCCCCATGTCCCAACGAGACAATCTTCAATTAAGGACAGAAGTTCTAGAACCTTCCAGGGCTCACACTCAAGACCTGCACCATTCACACAGACTATTCTAAGTGCAGCTCCCTGCTGCCCTACGTTTGTCCCATGGTTTTTTTTTTAAATTGTTTACTGTCTCATCTCTACATTTAAAACATCTGAACACTCAAAAATCTGAAGACACCTTTGTGGGGGTGCCTGGGTGGCTCAGTCATTAAGCATCTGCCTTCGGCTCGAGGCATGATCCTGGGGTCCTGTAATCTAGCCCCACTTTGGGCTCCCTGCTCAGCGGGGAGCGTGCTTCTCCCTCTCGCACTCCCCCTGCTTGTGTTCCCTCTCTCCCTGTGTCTCTCTCTGTCAAATAATAAGTAAAATCTTAAACAAAAAACCAAAACAACCTACAAGCCCAGCTGGGAGGAAAGTTGGTTTCTTAAAAAAAAAAAAAGAAAAGAAAGAAAGCTGGTTTCTTAAAAAAAAAAAAAAAAAAGACCTTTGTGTATAAACATGAACCTTTCTCTGTAAATTATAAAAAATAGAGGGCGAACCATGCTAGCCACACAACCCATGAGAGGAAACACTCAACAAGAGACAGGTCCAAGAAACAGCTTCAGACAGAGCCCTCACGGAGCATACAGCACAGAGCACGGCCACCAAGAGGAACCCCAAGAGCCGCGGACCACTGACGGAAAGGAAATGAGTCCACAAGCAGGACACCACCTCTGAAAAGTATGGGAATGCATTTAATGAACACAGGAGAACAACGATTGCCAAAAAAACAAAAGCAAAAGAAAGGACCTCTTAAATCTAATTACAATGAAGTTCTTTTTTTTTTAAACATTTTATTTATTTATTTGATAGACAAAGATCAAAAGTAGGCAGAGAGGCAGGCAGAGAGAGGAGTAAGCAAGCTCCCTGCTGAGAGGAGAGCCCGAGCTGCAACAAAGTTTATCAGAAAAGTTTACAATATCTACACCGAGGTACACTAAGTAAAATTTCACAGGTAAACACTACAGGCGGGTACATGTGAACAGGGAGAAGGAGCCTGTTCTTCTATTACCACGGGAGGGAAAAGACGAGGACACTGGAGAAACTGGAAGTGACAGTTTTGTCAAAGAACATATAAAACAAGGGGAACAGATGAACCAAAAAGATTGGGAATTTTTGACATTGCAGATATACAACACAATGGCCATAAACCACACAAAACAGAGGAAAACCATCCTAACTCAACTAAGAGAGAGAAATAGCAGGCCGGTCACTGGGTCAAGAGTAGCTCTCTGGAGAAGCTGCACATACGTGAGGTTCTCGTGCGTGTTGGGGTCGAAGAAGCCCTTGGTGTCGTCGCTCGGGTCCACCAGGACGCGGTTCATGTCCTCGTCGAAGTAGCCGCGCCGGTAGGCCACGTCCACGGGCAGCCGGTGGCTGTGCACGGGGTCGATGATGCCGCCCGTGGCGATCTGCGCCTCCAGCAGGCGGATGCCGTGGTCGCGGACGATGAGGTCCTTCTGCATGGCCTGGAAGAGGGAGATCTGCTCCCCCGTGTAGGGGTCGGTGTAGCCGGTGACGGCGCGCTCCGCGGACAGCAGCTTTGCGAACACGTCGGGCCCAATGAGGCCGGCCCTCAGGGCCTCCTCCACGGAGTATCTCTTGTTCTCCTTCGGGTTAAGGATGAAGCCCGTGGCCGCCTGCGCCTCCAGGAGGATGAGGGCCGTGCCGTGCCTGAGAAGCCCCCTCCCGCGAGCCTCGTAGATGCTAAGCCGCTCCTGGGAGCTGGGCAGCAGCAGGCCGGCAACGCACCCGGTCCCTTCCAGGTATTTCTGCACAGGGTCCAGGCTGCCCACTTCCCGGGCTGTGGTCTGGCCTCGCTCCAGACGCTCATACATGTCCTGCTCGATGATCCCTGCTTCTAGAAGCTCAGCGGGCATCACGGGCCCCCTCAGTCCAGCAAAGGTGGTCTTGGCCATGGCTGCAGCATGCTCAAGGATGGCCCTCAGCGCCGCTGCCAGTTCCTCCACCGAGATGGCGCCCTCCCGGTGCCGCTGGGCCAGGGCTGCCCTCTGCTCTGCGGGGATGGCCTCGGAGAAGAGCAGCTCCCAGAGAGACACGGGCCGGCCCTGGAACTGGCCCACGGAGACGGTGGTCGTGGCCTCACTTAAGGCCTGCCGGGTGCTGTGGTCGATGAACGGGAGTCCTTGTGGCTCCCCTCCAAGGGTGCCATTTGAGAGCGGAAGGAAGGCCAGCCCTGTCTCTGGGTCGGTGACACAGCGGGCCATCAGCTGCCCATAGCCAAGGCTCTCCTGCGTGCTGGGGTCCGAGAAGCCAGTGGCCCGTGAGACACACTGCCGTGTTTCTTCGTCCAGGCATCCGAAGCGTAGGGCGCCCTCCAGGGGCAACCGGAGCCTGCGGGCTGGACACACGAGCCCCCCCGTGGCCAGCTGGGCATCCAGGAGTCGCAGTGCCAGGGACCTGTCCACTAGCTCCTTTTTCATGGCCTGGAAGAGGGTGACCCGCATGCCGCTGAAGGGGTCGTGGTAGCCCGTCACCGCCTGCTCTGCCACCAGGAGCTGCCCATGGAGCTCCGGGCCGAGCAGGCCAGACCTGACGGCCTCATCCACCCACAGCCTCTCGCCGGTGCCTGGGTCCACCAGCGCGCAGGTGGCGGCCTGAGCCTCCAAGAGCGGGAGCGCCGTGGCCATTGGGAGCAGGTGCTCGGTGACAGCCTGGAAGAAGCTCTTCTTGCGGCCGACGGGCAGCAGGACAACCCCGGCCACGCTGCCCGTGCCCTGCAGGTAGCGCCTCACGGCAGCCCGGGCACTCACATCCGACACCGACAGCTTGCCCTCCCGAAGGCCCCGGGTGGTCTCCCCATCCAGGATGCCCGCCTCCTGCAGCTCTGCCAAGCTCACTGCCCCACACAGGGTGTGGAACGTGGTTTTGAGGGGCAAGACGGCCAGCCCAGTGCTGGGGGCTCTCACACACCTGCCCAGCAGACTGCCGTAGGACAGCCACTCTCCCGTGTTAGGGTCCTGGAAGCCAGGGGTGCTGGAACTCGGCTTGCCCTCTGCCAGAACACGCCACGTCTCCTGGTCCAGGAGGCCCTGCTGGCAGGCCAGCTCCGGGGCCACTCGCCCACCCCGAATGGGGTCCACCAGGCCCCCAGTGGCCAGCTGGGCCTCCAACCAGCTGTACCCCTGTGCTCGCCCTATCACCTCCTTCCCGATGGCCTGGAAGAGGGCCAGCTTCCCGCCACCATAGGGATCGGGGTACCCAGTGACTGCCCGCTCAGCAGCCAGCAGCCTTTCCTTCAGCCCCAGGCCTACCAGGCCCTGCTGCACGGCCTCAGACACAGAGAGTAAGTGGCCCCGCGTGGGGTCCACGAGGCCCCCGGTGGCGGCCTGGGCCTCCAGCAGAGCC